GCGTGACCGTGAGAATAACGGTTCTCCTGTAAATATATGTTATATCATTGTTAATGTGAGCATGAAATGAACCTACAAGTTTTGACGGCTCATTTAGATTCGTTACCGCTGTGCCCTGGTGGTCTTCAATACATTTATGAATGTTTAAATCAGTGAGAACGAAATGTGGCGTCGATTCCGCGCATTCACCGAACATTTCATAAAATTGAGTTCATTTATATCTCGAATACGTCACGTGTCTGTCGTTCGTCTCTGTCCTCGGCTCATTGCTGATCTTATCTCTGAGATTATTGTTTGCCATATGTCACATTGGGTTTTATAACACTTTTTTTAAAATATATATTGGGTTGTATAAAATTTGAAATTCTCATAAAGGATGACCTGGGCTCTTTGTAGAAGTCATCATGTAATAGATAGGAGATATTCTATTACTAGGCAGAGGGTAGGTAATAGCAAGTGATTTTAAATTCTAAAATAGTAATATCTGAAAATAATGGAAATCGAACCAGCGACTTCTAATGTTATATGAAATGAAAATATTTCATATATTTTCTGCCTCAATGAACAACGATTGCTTAAATTATAAATTGGTTTCTTCTGTAGCACAAAAATAGTTTGATTGTCGGCAGCATTCCCCCACAGCAGAGTACCATACGACACTAGCTACATTGCTATGCTATGCTAAAAGAACTTAATTAAACAAGTCGTGCTGTATCAACATCAGTTAAGTCTGCTGAGCTGAGTCTACTCGATAATTTACCTTCGAAAGAAACTTCGTTCCGACCGGGGGTCCATAGTTCCCTCACGCCTTTTTTATAAATATAGGAGTATGTTTATCAGCAGTCTGAATTATTACATTACAGGCATATATTAGATCTGTCATGGAAAATCCTGTCATCACATAATCAATCATCAACAGCCTATACTAGTCCACTGCTCGACATAGAAAGGAGGTTTTGGCCTACTATATATAGAAATAGTATATACACTGTGGCGGTATAGATATCACAAAAAATGAAATAACAGATAACACGGTTCAATATACGTCGGTTAAAATAAAAAAATAAAAAATTAGTACGAAAATACAGAAATGCAAATTTAGAACAAACTAAATACAATAAAATAATTTCCGAATTAGAACACCATTGATAACATGCGTCGGTGAACTGTACCTACACGGCAGCGTCGCAATGTCGGCGACATCAAAACGACGCCGCGGCGGCGGCGTCGTTTACATTCTTATTACCTACCTACCAATCACTTCACTTGCTTTTAAAAATCTATTTATAAAGAATGCGATTTTATTCACGTGTTTATTTCGTGAATGCTCGACTAGCTTCCGACCCAGCAGTACGCGTCACTCCTTGAAAAAGTAGTTACCTTGGTTGTCTCGTAATCTTTGTACCGCCCTTACAAAAATTCGGCAGTCTGTAGGACATACACGATTGACTCCATACGTGTCCGTAAAGCAAAAGATGCGTTTTGATAGAGTTTTCCATAAATTAACATCATAGCAGGATATTCCGCGGCTGTGAAGGTCACTCACGGCATTATGGATGTTGATATCGATAACCCAATAAAATTAAAAGACTGATAATGCACTCAGTTTCACACTACACTACACACAGAACCTAATAGTGACTTTTCAAAATAAAATTAGCAGGACTCCTTACATTACGAAGTCTTGCGCACACGATAACATTAATTGTTCACACCATTGCCGTGTATTATGACGAAAGCAATAAGACTAAACAATTATTACCACAAGAAAACTTCTCTAAACAAATATGTATCTCATAAACAACAACAATATTATTATTACGGTTATTTGTCGTGAGCGCATCTACAAGGATACGGAATAGCATAAGCTCGCCGGTGGCCAAGGGCCGACTGACTGTCCTTACTGGATGAACTAATTAAAAACGCGTGTTGCATCGTGATGACGTAATAATCAACATATTTCGTTCGATTCGGGTGTAGTAAAAGCGGCAACGTGTGATTACCGCGCCGCTGATCTATACCTACAGCTGATCGCCGCCTGAGGTCAATGTATTATGACTGCATGTACACATGATGTTGCAATTTACGAAACACAAAAATGAGTCCTGTGGCTAAACTACTGGATATATTTTGTTCATATTTTGCAAATCGCCTAGAAATTAAGGGTAGAATATGTGGCTTAAGTATATGTGAAAGGAAATGAAACTCTCTGTATATAGAAAATCCTGTAACTCTTCTTAATTTATAGTCAAACGCGATACCATCCTTTCATTCCATTTTGTTCTAGATGAGGTGCGCTGTTTATTTTAATTTAAGACTACTTACTGAAACAAGCTTCTTTATTTGAGCTTTTGCCATTTGAATTACTTTAGTAGGAGTAGCTTGGTGTGAACATTCCTCCTAAACTTTATGCTGTAGAACAGCATGGGTTTCATGGTATCAATATTAAGTTGTTTGTAGGTATTTGATAAATGGTATCTTATTATGTTACACTACATGGATTTCATCTGTATATTTCATGCAAAAAAGTCATTCATGCATGGGACATTTTAATTCAATTCATTCACAGTATTGCATAGCTGCACTAAATATTTTTGTACAAATTGTAAGTGATACAAAACAGAAGATAGGATGGCCTTCATTCAAAGGAAAAGATTGTTCCCGAGGGACACCTGAATTAATAGACAAAATCTACCAGTACCCAGTACACAGTAGTATCTTGTATATTATTAACAAGATATTTGAGTTTATTCGCCAAAATAACACACTACGTCGGTATGTGCATGCTTGTTTTATTAGAGATGTGTGCCAAGTGTGAGCGCCGAATAGGCTCTACGACGTAGCACCTTTCTTGTCTGTTAAGGTGCTACGCCGTCGTCATAATCATTTGAAGCGAAGACAATTTTGGTTTCAAATTTGTAAGAATGTTTTCACACACAAAATTAAAATGTATAAAATGTTTTATATGACGACGATATATTGAAGCGGAAGTGCATTCGACTATAACATTAGAAGTCGCTGGTTCGATTTCCATTATTTTCAGATATTACTATTTTAGAATTTAAAATCACTTGCTATTACCTACCCTCTGCCTAGTAATAGAATATCTCCTATCTATTACATGATGACTTCTACAAAGAGCCCAGGTCATCCTTTATGAGAATTTCAAATTTTATACAACCCAATATATATTTTAAAAAAAGTGTTATAAAACCCAATGTGACATATGGCAAACAATAATCTCAGAGATAAGATCAGCAATGAGCCGAGGACAGAGACGAACGACAGACACGTGACGTATTCGAGATATAAATGAACTCAATTTTATGAAATGTTCGGTGAATGCGCGGAATCGACGCCACATTTCGTTCTCACTGATTTAAACATTCATATATGTATTGAAGACCACCAGGGCACAGCGGTAACGAATCTAAATGAGCCGTCAAAACTTGTAGGTTCATTTCATGCTCACATTAACAATGATATAACATATATTTACAGGAGAACCGTTATTCTCACGGTCTCGCTTTGTGGGCATCATGAGCAGGGATCCGGGCGAGAAATAAACTGTTTGTAGGTTATTAAATTATTTATTTCTTAGGGAAGGTAAATTACAACACAGACTTACTCTTTACTTTAAAATCACTTTAAATTATATACTTAATGTTACTTTTAGAGCGGACAGTACGATAAGAAATCCGAATACAGAGTGCACACTCTTTTATTAACATTTACCCCTCTCTAACCCAGGCTCTATGACGTTTATGTGTCGTTGATCTTCCGTAGTAATGATCCGGATGCGACATACTTTTTAAGTTATGGTGGGGGCAAACTAGTGGGGGCAGACGGGTCATCCGATTGTATAAATATATATATATTATAATAATTATTTTTATTTCTCTCTCACACAGAATTACATATCTTGTCAGCACTAGAGCTGAACCTGCGTGAGAGACTGGTATTCGTACTTGGTAGATCTATATTACAGATTACCAGTCTATTCTGACTTTAGGTGTGTTTGTTCTTGAGTTGAGTTGATTGGAAAATTTTATTTTTTTGCCGTTTGCTGGTAAGTGATGGGTCATAGAGGAGGAGCGAGTGCTGTCTTATGGTAATGCTTAGGGTGTACAGTTATATATATCATCAACAGCAGCCTTTACTAGTCAACTGCTGGACATAGGCCTCTCCTTAGAAAGGAGGGTTTGGTCAACTATATATATATATTTATGATGACATCGTGCATTAAAATTTTATAATCAAGTTAACTCAAGAACGAACACACCTAAAGTCTAAGTCACCTAATATATATATATTCCAATATATATAAATATATTCGGGCCTCTATAAGCTGTTGGAGTCCCACTCATATTTGTCATTTTGGACTTATCCCTGACCCCATGGCCGTATTCTGCAAGATACTAAAATAATATAATAATATTTCATATATTTTCTGCCTCAATGAACAACGATTACCTCTATGAATGTAATATATCATCATATTCATATAAACAAAGATACCCAACCGAGACCAACTAACCATAACCTTTACATAAATATTTGTAGTGTAATCACAATGGTGCGAGCCATCCGAGAGAGATGTTTTGGCTATTGTGGGCAATACATTACGTTTCGTGGTAGGTTCAAGGTGAGCACTTGGTTCAAACTTTAGTTCAAAGCAGTCTATGCAATTTGGATCTTTTAATGTTTTAAATTCGTTACAGTGACAGATCTTGCTGACAAAATGTGCAGGCTGTAGATGTGACTTTCGTGACAAAGACTCTAGGCGTGGTATTTTTCGGTACCAGCTTTGGTGTGTACTTCTCCTTTCTCGTATTAGCAATGGATTCGATTGCTCCCCAGTACCAAGTCCAGTTTGGACACGGCTATGTGAATGATAACAGCATCCAAGGTGCTAGTGTCAATGCCGAGGCTTTGTAAGTCGTCCAGAGTGACCGTAGTTGTATCTAGAAGCTCCTTCAACCCACGCGCACACTCCGTAGCTAACGTAGCACGTTGTTTACGATGATTCTTTTATTATAATACCGATTTTCTAAGATGCTCCACTCACTTTCAAAGTTTGAGCCACTGACTGCTAGATTTTTAAGGGCGGTCTCCGCGTCTCCGTTTACACTTGAGCACAGGCAGTGATATTTCTCCATGTTCGATAACCTTTCATCATTGATAACTAAGGCATTGAACAAGTCGCATAAACTTATCCAGTCTTCATAGTTGTCTGCGAACCGTGGTATGTTAACAGGTGGTAGTTTGACTCGTGATGTGGATGTGGATTCCGTAGTGACAACTTTTGTACATTCGCGGTTTTCTTTGTCAGCTGGTAGCTCATACAACGCCTCCATCAGTAAGGTCCTACAATCTAGATAAAGATTTTCTGTTATTTCGTATTCTTGTACTGCGTCGAATTAAGGTAAGACTTTAGGACTTGCTTGAATTATGACGTCATAATGTTTAATACTCCACTAACATGTCCAATCTAGTCTGTATTTATCCTCTTGTGAACCGAGATTTGTATTTTTTATATTAGTATATAATTTAATTATTCTTTCCGTTATTAATTTTAAATGATTGCCACTTTCCGCCATTATTATAGATTGTTCACAGAGTTTATTGGAACGAAGTTCCTTATCGCGCGTTGTGAAAGGGGGCTAGACGGAAAAAAATCTCACGAAAAGTTGTAACGACACTTTTTATGTCAGTCATTCAGCGCCATCTATCGAATAGATAGGAAATCATTACTTTTCATCTCAGTATTTATTTGGAATTGTCACTTGTCAGTCATTCAGCGCCATCTATCGAATAGATAGGAAATCATTTCTCAAGGAGATTTTACCAATGTATAAATTGTTTTAATTAGAAACCAACTGAAAAATATGTAGGTAATAGCCGCTTTCATAGATGGCGTTGTAATTAAAATCGTGTCGAATCAGTTTTACTAGATAGTCACAACTTCGTTCCTATCGGGTGTCCCACGACACCACACGGCTTTTTTTTTTACCAAGTTTTTACACTGCGATTACACTGATTTATGTAATTTATAATCCCACTAAAGGCTCTTAACACCGAATGCTAATTTTGCTCTGGTGACATCCATCTAAGGAGAGGCCTATGTCCAGCAGTGGACTAGTATAGGCTGGTGATGATGATGATGATGATGACATCCATCTATAACTAAATCTAACTTTCAACCTTTTATGATCAAACGCAAGTTACGGATCTGACCAAGCGCATCTATTGGTGTTTATTCACAACACGTACTACAGCAAGAAGTGTCGTTAAAAAGTTTTGTTACACATTTTTCGGTCTCGCTCCCATCCTCAACAAAATTACTCCCAGACTCAACACAAACGATCGTGCTCATCACACACTTATTATGTCCTGAGTGGGAGTCGAATGCACGACCTCTGCCTTAGCAGTTAGGTTCACCAACCACTAGGCCAACAGGCCCGTCACGTTTAATGACAAATTCTACCATCTCATCTCATCATCAATTATTCATAAAAAATACTTGACCAAACTGGTTAAACAGGTCGGCTAAGCAGACTCGTAATAGATTTCTTTTCTACTTTTTATTTAGTAAAGTCTGAGTTTGAGTTAAGGACTAATATTTTTTATTTAGTAAGATATCAAGCGGTTTTCACAGCCCACTGATCTTACTCAAGTGCGATAGTTACTGAAAGAAAAACTCTAACACCAGTAATTCTTTAGTTTACGCAAGTGGAGAACAAACATTTGGGTCAGTGAAGTGGAAACTTAATAAATATTTGTGGAGGCTGAAAGTAAATTTAGCGAATATTCGGTCATATCTGTACCCAGCCGCTTGTGAAATTGTATAGCGCGGTGTATTTACTACAAGTTTACGGGGAGATATTTTATGACGCCGTATATCAACTTTTACTTCCCATGACTAGCGCGTCTAGGACTACCACTTGACGTGATTTTTATAAATGTGAAAAATCGCTATTTCATACATTATTAAGGCATATTTACAAAACAAACACAAACATCCATACACATAATTGTTTCAAACTAAGTTCACTTGCTACTCTGATTACAAATATGCGCATCATTCACATATAAACAGCATTATAATTGTAAAAATTTAAAAACTTTACTTTATACATAACTAAAACTTAACTAAAAATTTATACACTTTACGAGATCAGCAGACTAGATTATATTAATAATATTAATAGTGAAATTGTACCAAATTTAACAAAATTAACGCAAGAAAAAACCATAAAAATCAAATAATAAAAAATGTCTTCTGAAAACGTACTACACTGCATATAAAAACTTATGCTAAATTAAATTAGTATCGATAATTGTCATCGATTTTTCCATCGATAATTTTGCGCTTAAAATGTTTGAAATGGTCGTGTAAGATATCAAGGCCAAGTCTCCTCCGGCACTGATTGTATGTTGTCTAGTTAGTTCGGTTTGGTGAAGTTGGATTGGTGTGTCGGTACGTCGAAGATAGATTACAAGACATCAATCATCATCAACAGCCTTTAATAGTCCACTACTGGACATAGGCCTTTCCTTAGAAAGGAGGTTTTGGCCTACTATACCACGCTGGCCAGACGGGTTGGTATAGGGTTTGTGTCAAGTTTTCCTTCTTTTTGCAGTGCTGGTGTCCTGCGTTGTTTTGCACCCTTAGTCGGCTCATACGACACCCACGGGATAAATTGGGGTAGTGACATTGCGTATTCTTAATCCGTCACTACACGGATTACAAGACTATGGCAAAACTAAACGGTACGTTATGTATTTGATCTGTATGTTTTTTGTTTTGCTTACATTAAAATTTCAAAATAATCCTCGGCCTTTTTTTCTTCCAAAACATATTTCATGATAATTTAAAAAAAATATATATATAAAAGTGTTTTGCTTTAAGTTTGCTATGTTATATTATAACCGCAACTAGGTTTTTTTTTTTCGTTACTGTTTTAATTTTATTACACCTAAATCTTGGCCTTAAAATCTCAATCTTAACATCAGGACTGGACTATTTTTTTAATTAGCCCTTAATATGTAAATTTTCATATAGATACACTTTTCAACCATAAACTAATAGAAATAACAATTACATTTTCAAGCTGCTTCGCAACCAATTATGTTAATACTCGTATGTCAGCCAAATGACGAGACAATAATGACAAATAAAAAAGTTAGGAAGTAAATTATTTGTAACTCACGACCAGCGCTCGTCGAAGCTCAATGTAGCTGGGGGTGAAAATTAGCAGAAAAGTTAACCGTTCGTTTACTTTTACGACGCATCATCGCACACCGAACACATTGTTTCAAAATACACTATAGCCTCTGGTCTCAAGGTGCAGATTTCAGTATCATTGTCTATTTATTTATGATCATATTTTCGACAATCTATATGCAGAATTACTCAACTGGGAATACAACCGCTTAATGGCATACTTTAGAGCGTTGTACGTATAAATAAATATACAATATTAGTCACACAGTTTGCTTTTTACCTTATTTATTCCTTTACTCTTGTATCGTGTTACAAGACTATTGAACCATCTAATTTGATTATTTATAGTTAATCAACTTAATATAAGCGATTAATAAAAGGCAATCATGATTATTCTAATCCTGGACATAATGCTTTTGTTTTGTATCTTTCTTCCGCCAATTAAAGTAATCTGATAATCTGTTACATTAAAATAATTAATAAATAGCATTAACTCGACTAGGAGTAAATCTTTTCCGGTAAAACCATATTAACCATATAAGCATATTCTTTTAGTTCTTAGAACATTTTTTTTCGCTTTGTTCGCTATTTGATTATGTTCTATTTGTAAAACAACACAACAAAGAGTTTTTCGGGTTTTATTAATCCAAGTGGTTGAAGATAAACTGTAAGGGTAGAAGTAGGACATGGGTGGCGGCGAGCGCGTTGCGAAGCGCGCTCGCTTTCAGGGAGCACAGGGAATATGGGGTTCCCACACGGGGGGGGGGGGTCGTCTACTCGTCTGTAGATGACCCGAGGTATGTCAGGGCACCAGGGACTTCCTATCTAGGGTATACCTGGTTCCCCGGCTATTAGTACCCGAGACGGCGTGCGGTTTTAGTCGGTTCGAGTCCGACATGCCACCGATAGGTGGTATCCGAGGGGATTTCAGCACGGAAAAAAAAAAAAGGGTAGAAGTAAGACAAGAACTACAAACAGGAAAGTTCACATTGTCACTCAGCATTATCTAACGTAAGAAACACAAAATATCAATTAAGTGTACTACGACTGTTAAATCCGAAAGTAATTTAAAAAAAGTTCAGTTCAGTTGTTATTTTACAGCTATCCGTTTGCCTTAAAACAACAATTAATGAATGTTTACATATTTTAGTGCGTTGTTTGTTTACTGTTTTTGGTTCGTATTCTGTTTACAATAAAGACTTGAACTAACTTTCTCTTAGCCCCTTTCTACCTATTTATAGAAAGCGACTCAAAGTACATTTTAATGTACGGTACATTAATTAACGAAGACTGGCTGTCATCGACTTACGAAACTCGTGTCACTTGAAATTTGTAGATGATGATAAATAATCGCATCTGGAGGCTTTTTGCTAACGCAACAGGAAAACATAAAACACCTAGAAATACTTTTTATTTTCGGTAAAAACTATTAATTTTGTTTTTTGATAATTCCTACTGAACATGCAAAAGTAACTCTGTCTGTCTGATACGCTTTCCCAGCTAAATCACTTAACCAAATTTAATGAAATTTGACATGGAGATACTAAAATCTTGAGGAAGGACATGAACTCCGTTTTGCTGTAAAAAACCACGTACACGAGGGTGCAGCTACGGACAAAAGCAAGTGAAAAATATCAGTGGACACAGTAAAAACGCTTCTTTGTTTTTGTGATACTATCAAAGCCAAACAAGTACTTATTTAATGTCGGATTCTGTTTTGGACATTCTGTCGACGAAGAAAAAGTACACGCTCTGGACATCAGACACCCCGTTTCTAAACGACTGATCAAAATACTGTTCGACTAGCAGAGCTGTCAATTTATTAGTGATGTCGAATCAGATCGAGTTTCTATAACGTAGATCAAAGAAACATTCATTGAAATGTGATCAGTTTCTTGGAATATTCCAATGACATCTCACGTAAGATCTTCAAGGAGAATATGACAGCTCTGTTAACTGACACGATGATCAAATCAAATTGCCTAGTCAAGATTTTAGTAACTCAATATATACCTGATAAAAGGTTTGTTATTCGATTAGTAATTTTTGCTTTATCAGCCTTTCAGAAACCATACAATTTCGATAGTGACAAAGTTATGTGTTTGAGAATTATCTTAGACACGTAACAAA